ACGCCCTCCTCCACCGTCTCTCAGCTCCTGCAGGACGCGTTCTTCGCCTCCGGGACCTCTGTGGGCTTCCCGCTCATGTCGACCGCGGGCGTGCGCGACGTCAAGGACGTGCGCGTACCCGACGACGCGTTCGCCGCGTTCCTGCGGCGCTTGCCGGTCGTCCCCGCCGAGACGCTCGCGGAGGCGCGTGCCATGGTGGATGCGCTGCAGGCGCGCCGGATGCTGCGCGACATCGCGTTCGATGACGTGCTCGGCGAGCTGCGGCAGCGCCCGCTCGGCGAGACGGAGGCGGCAGCGTGCCTAAGGTGGTGGGTGACTGTGCACCGCTCCGGCGCGGGCAACGAGCGCGTGCGGCGAGAGCTGCTGGACGCGGCGGTCGTGGCGGCGGAGGGCGACGGGGGGCGCGTCGTGCAGCTCGCGGCGGTGCAGACGTTCTTGAACCCAAGGGCGACGGGCGCGGTGATACCCGCCGACGGGCCGCTGCCGGCGCACCTCCTGACGGTGCTGGATTGGGTGAAGCATATCGTGAGAGGGAGATGCCGAGGACGACGTGAGGCGGACAGCGGTGTGGACGGGCGCTGGCGTGCGTGCCGACGACGGCGGGCTGCATCGCGACGTTGTGCTCGGTGCTGCTTGCTGTCGTCGCATGGACGCTGATCGTTCGAGGGCCCAGGAAGAGTCAAGGAGTGAGTAGGGGGGAGAGGGCCAAGTGGTGGTCGGAGAAGAAGAGGGTGGAAGTGGGCGAAAAATGCAAATTGTCGGGTTGCAGTATTGCAGTGGACCCGGTCATTTTTGTTTGTGCAGTGATAGCCGGGTGGAAGCGCTGGAACCAAATAGTAAAAGAGCAGCAAGTCTCCTTGACCCGGCCCTACAGTAGAAGGCCTGCCCTGAAGAGATTTGCTTTCACTGGTTCGGTTTACACAGATTTCTCTAGTCTGGTACAGAGTAGAACACTCTGTTCACTCGTTGTACTACAAGCCGTCATCCACTGGACCTCCGTCTCCCGCCCATTCTCGTCCCTTTAATCTGCTCGCGCTTCCATCCCCACGACTTTCACGACCCAGGAGGGCGTGGGTTTTGTTGAACAACGGCTAGGGTTAGGGTTTGCGATGATCTAGCCGAATGTATACCAAGCAACCCTTACCATCACACCCGTTCGCCCACAACTACAGCCTGTACCTCCATCGAGGTCTCACCACAACCCTCCCGCTCAGCTTTGGACACCATAGTCTCGGCACCTACACTATGCAGCACATCGACATCAGTCTCGCATCGCACCGACACTTGAAGAGAATCTCACTCACCCAATCCCAATTACCCTATGCGATCGACGCAGCCCACGGGGCGGACATCCGTCCCTACAACGCCCCGCGCAGCCCCTACGTCTTTCCAGCAGGCCCCAGGTGCGTCAGATTGAGCGCAAAGGCCCCGATCAACGGAATGTGAACCGTCCCATCTTTGCCGAGCAGATGACCCCAAGAAGAAGCCGTTGACGAAAAGTCGACAGCGGACGTATCGCAAGGCGAGCGTCGCCGACGACGATCCGTCCCGTCTTCGCCGAAGGGGTGCGACCGTTGACGCGGCGGGCGGACCGGTGGAGTTGCGAAGCCGTAGCGCGACCATCCTGCCCGCGGGAAATATTTCTGTCCCATCTTCGTGTATGGAGGGCCGTGAATATGAGTCACAGACATGGAGGTAGAGACTACAGACTCACAACAAAGGATGAAAGGAAGAAGCAACACAAAGGATGCGCCTTCAACCATCGGCAGTGGACCTTCCGATGCACGGCGCCGGCGATGACGAAGCCCTTGACAGCCCAGGGTGATACATGGGCCACGCGTTGTTGCCCCTACGGGCGTCTGATGCGCTGGTCACCGGATCGTGAACCATCCCATGCTTGTCGAATGGGACTGTTGCGAGCGTGCATCACATCGACGGATAGCGAATGCGATATGCTGCCAGAGTACCATGCAATGGTCCCTTGAGTCCGTAGCGCGACGATCCTGCTCGCGGGAAGAAGTTCTGTCCCATCTTCATGTGTGGAGGACCGTATATATCAATGACAGATACCGTGGCAGAGTCTATGGACTCACGGAGATCGATAAAAGAAAGCACCGCAAAGGCCTTGCCCTTGACCATCGGCGGCGGACCTTGCGTGCGCAAGCCGCATCGAAACGCCCCGTTGTCGCCGCTAGATACGCCCGATGCGCCGGTCGCCGGATCGCGATGTACCCCATATTCATCGAACGGGACCGGACAGCGAGGTGTCGAGGTCTGGCAAGTAGTAGTCAATGAGGAGTAGATACTCCCAGTGTCAATGGAGCACATCGTGTGGCCAGGTGATGACGCGAAATGACACCTGGAGGACGCTCGCGAGACAGAGAACCGACCCATCTTTGCCTACGGTGCGCCGTAAATGTAAATGTCAGTGATGCGCGTAGCAAGGTGGGGGCAACAAACTCACAAAGATAAAGGATAGCGGGAAGCAAAGCTAAGACAGCACCTTCGATCATCGTGACCGGAGCTCGAGTGATAGGACAGCCAAGATCGGAAAGGAGTAAGGACGCCGCGCCGAGTGCACAGACGTCGGCGAGACGCCAGTCAGATCTTAGACCGATTGATGCCGCTCCGCGGACGTCGACATATCCATTCTTTGCTTGACAAGTCCTAGGCGAGACCAACACTGCATATCGGAGAGGGTAACGGACAGTGAAAGGGGAGATAGACCGAGAGCGTATACACAGCGCACAGCAACGCCTTTTCGTGGGCGAATGATAGGTTGCGCGCGAGGACGCGCAGCTCGCGGGATCGCGATTCGTCCCATCTCTGCTTAAGCAACGGAAGCAACGTAAACGGAAGGTAGAGTGCAAACCACAGACTTACATAGCACCGTGAAGAATGGGAAATGGCATGCATAGCGCCTCTGAGATGCGATTCGCCGCCTCGGTGTATACATGCCTATGTAGTTGAATATTGATGACATTGGCGCCGAGGTTCATCCAATTGCCGTAGGATGTCAGAGCAAGTGTGTGCGAGGATCCAGCTCACGGGAACGCAATCTGTCCCATCTTTGCGTGACCAGCGGTCAGCGACGAAAAAGAACGCGCAAGTAGAACGTATAAACTTACATAACAGCGAGTAGAATGGGAAATGGCATGCACAGCGCCTCTACGAGGCACTTCACCGACCCCACTATATGCATCGCTATGTGCCGAATACCGACCGCGACAGCGCCGAGATTCTTCGAATGGCGCCGCGGGATATTCAGCGGGTGCGTAAGAGTCCCCGGCTCACGGCAACGTGCTCTGTCCTATCTTTTAACAAGTGTCAGCAAGAAGGTAGAACATATAGACTTACAAGCAGCGTGAAGAATGGGAAACGGCATGCATGGCGCCTCGCCGACCTGTGACGCTTGGAATTGCCGCAGCGGCGTCAGCCAAGGTGGACGCCGTCGGCGCTGCGAGCGCGAGATCGCTCGGAGGCGGGGAAAACCATTCGTAGTTGCGTACGAAGAACCAGCTTGCGGGAGCACGATCTGTCCCGTATTGGCCTTACTGGTGTAACAACGTTGGTACAAGGTAAGGGATCCGTAGGCATGAACATACTAATTCAACCTGAGCGGGGAACGGCGCGCATAGCACCTCCACGAGGCGCTCAGCCGATGCAAGATGCACGCGCCGTCGGCGCCGCGAGCATTTTGAAATCGCTCAGGAACGAGGCAAACCGTCCATAGTTGCGTACGAGGATCCAGTTTACGGGAGGACCAGTTGGCCCATCTTCGCCTTGCTGGTGTAATGAAGTTAGTACAAGGTCAAAGATCAGTAGGGTAGCAACATACCAAGTCTGCAGAGCGCGTCTTCGAGGCCCATCGAAGCCTACAGGCGCCGTCAAAAAGACGTCTTGACGGCGCGAGTGTGCACGTCGACTCAGCAGGTGGGGCGAGAGACGTATACGGCCTTATACATGTCGGTTCGACACCGGTCGCGGGCTCCAATACACCGCGTCTGTGTTCAATCGGAGCGTCCAGACAAAGATACGCAGCCAGAGAAGTCGCCAGGGCATAGAATAGAGTCGGGGAACGAATCGTCGTCGCGGAAGCGGCCTCTCGAGGACGGATACCGCCGATGTCGACAAGAGTCGCGAGACGACGACAGACGACTCGAATAGTCTCTCGCTGCCGAGCGCCAGCCCAAGTCAATGTCGATTACGTCGCGACAGGGTCTTTGGGACACAACTGATAGGCCGCAGCGTCGCGTGCGCATCTACGGCTGCTCCCCGGAAGTCGAATCATACCTACACCGTGTTTCTGAAGAGACCAGGCCGACGAACCGGAGCGGCGGGCGTATCCAGGCGTCTCCAAGGGTTGCATCGTATGGAACGCGACGCGCCCGATCCAATGCGCGAGTTGGCACCAAGAGACTTTACGAACGAAAACAAATGCATTGCTTCATTATACACATATTTTAAATCACTATACAGAGCAGTCAGAACTAAAACTGAAGACAAGGAGCTAACTAACGCACCTGAGGTACTAGGCTCATCTCGTTAGGATCTATCTGCAATTCCTCCGCCGCTCGTCACATCCGCGTGCTCAAGTGAGCTACCCTCTCCACGGCCGCAATGTTCTTGAGCTGCTCCGGTGTCTGCAGACTCTCGATCAAAGCATTCTGCTGGAGGACTATGGCCCGCTACGCGCATCATTCAACCATTAGCTCATCCTCGTTATTTCAGTGCGAACAAAGCTATACGCACCAGATCTGCAGCGCTACTAGACTCGCGCATGTACAAGGTCGGACAAACTACCCCGCGATGCGCTCTGCTCGAGAAACATCTTAGGAAGACGGGAGACGAGCGCACAGACGCACCGGATACGGCTCCGCCACGTGCGAAACACTGCCACTCTTCGCCATCTCGCGTTCGCCGTTAATTATATCTCTGCCTCCTCTGCATGCTGTTGTTGCCTGCTGCGCGTCTACCAGGTCAGCGGAAGTGTAACCGGATAGTACGCGAGATGGCTTACCGACGGGCATTCAAAGGCAGGGTCCACGCAAACCAACACTGCTGTCCAAGAGACGACGGAGGATAGCATGTCGAGCTGCTCGCTCAGCACGAGGCGGAATGCACGTATGCAATACTTTTAACAGAACTGTTCTCAGTATGAATATGATATGCAAAAGCACACCTTACCTACACTGCATAGATCATGGGTAGAGAGATGAGGTTGCCGCCAGGAGACGTGGTGGAGCAAACGAGCATAGTGGGGGCATAGATCCCGCCTGAGGGTTTTTCGCACAGTCGAGTCTATATATTGTATGTGCCACGGAAGATGTCTCGCGTGGGCTAACGATGTGATGCTTCGGAGGCAGGGTCAGAAGCCTTCTCCGAGAAGGCGCGACCGGGTAGCATTGCTGCCCGCTCATGCTGTCTCGGAGAAGGGCCCTGATAACAGGATGTGTCATCAAGGTTATTTTAATTTTATTACTCAGAGTTTACTGATGATTTCTGGGCATGCAATGCTGGTGGGTGCCTCAAGACTGATAAGGACCAAAGTCGACAATCATATCCTCAACAATGACAAGTCATCTTGATTTTCCAAGGACTTAGCCCTCTGAGCCGGCTCAGCTGAGAGACGGGCCATCCTGAACTCGGAGAAGGTGCAACTTCTCCGTTTTCAGGGGCTCGATCAGGGTAGCTAGTCAGTAGATCTACCATAGATTACCTGATCCCCCAACTCCGAGAATACGTACGTACAACCCGAAGCCTGCACTGCAAGGTGAACGCTGCGCAGCACTCCGAGCGGGTGCGTCGAAGGAGCAAGGAATCTGTCCGACGATCCGAGGCAATCTGGCAATTCCGCCTTGCCTTCAACACCGGTGGTGCCTCATGGAATGAGTAGTGAATCCACTCAGATCGTGATACTGGACTCACACAGCATAGGACCCTACTCTCCTGTATGATCAGTTGATCATCTCTGTAATAGGATGCCTCTGTTTCTTGTCAGTCCACATTGTGCCGCATCATGATCCCTACTGATACCATTGATTGGGTATTATTTACATACAGGAAACATAATAAACGAGAAATTGTACTGAGTGTTGCTTTGTCGAAAACAAGAATTGTGCAGTGAGGTGATCGAATGCCGAGTGGATCAGTCTCGACAACAAGATGCTGCGTGAGTGGGACTGCGACGCCGGTGTCAACTTCCAAGTCCGGCGCCACAATCGAATGTAACGGAGTGTTCAAGGAGTCTCTTTGCACTGTTCAGTCTCTCTTGCTTGCCCCGCCTCCTTTCGTGGCTTTTGCCTATACGACGATGGCTGCCAAAATGCGAAATCCTGTCGTCCGAAGGCACCGTCATGGTGTCAGCTGTCTCTTTGTCGTTGTTATGGACTTGTGCTCGTTCGGCATTCTGCCGACCTGCTACCGGGTACCTCCGTCCTCTGCAAGCTTGCAACACCTCTACCACGCTGTGTCGCTATTCTCGCCATTTGCGCAGCCCTCGGCGCTCGCGACGCAGACGGGTTCTGCGCTGCGGCGTGCCGAGCAAATTGCGCAAATTGTGACCCTAGATGCAGAGCAGCGTAACACGTCTGAAAGTGTATTTTGAGTTCTACATGGATAGGCAACACCATCACGCCCTTCACTCAATGACAGCAGAAGACTACACAACAGGGTGTGTCACGGGAGACTCGCAGACAGATCACAAATGGATATCGGAGTGAGATAGACATACACACGTCCTGGTAAGCAATAATTCTCATGAGAATGCTTGTAGCATTGTATGTACATCGAAATACTGTCTCTCGAGCACGGTTCGACAGAGGTGCATTGCCCATTTGTCGGACGTCTGCAGTCGGACACTTCGACTGCCGGACAAAGCATCTTGCACTCAATCGACAGACATCATCTCCGAGCTCTGGGAGATGTATCCCATCATGTAGATTATCGTTATCAATTCGGGGAGTGGGGTGTGCGAGGCAAGCTATACCGCTTGGCTCACCGAGCGCACTGCTACGCTTCGCGAGGTACGTGGGGCTGTTCCAAGGATGAGATCCGCGAGATGAGCGGGCATATGACAATGACGTCCTTGAAGGCATCTCCGACGCTTGGCAATTACCGCTGGGAAGGGAAGCACACAATTTCCCAAAGCCATCGCAATATCCTCGAGCGGGGACCTTGCATCGGTGTACCGCACGGCAGAATATCGGGGAGCATTGGTGGAGCGGTGAGTGATTCTCTCATGTATATTCTTTCGCATACTGATCTATTCAATTTGTAGTAGAATATACCATGTCTGCTGTACTGTAGCATGCCGGACCAAGCCTGTCATACTGCCCTTGCACAGGATTCCCTGCCGCTCTCCACAGGATACCAAAGATCGTACAATATTTTAGCTGGTGTGTCTGCTACGAAATGACCGCAAGACGTTTACGCGACGTAGAAACGTCACAACTACCAAGCACCCGGTAAGTACGTACCATTGCCCTTGGAAGATCGTGGGCAGAGGGTTGAGCGAACAACATTAGCGTGAAACGCGCGCCGGTGGCACCTGGTTATCGGTGTTATTCTTGGCTTACGATGACACCCCAGGGCAACCACAAATTTCGAGGGCGGTGAGGATGTGGCCCTGGGCGTATTGGGTGTACGGGATAGGCTGTGGATCTGCGAGGTGGTGGGTAACCTCAAGGTTAGCTTCCGTAGTCTACTCTGACGATAATATCTCCTCAGGGCTCCAATGCCACATTTGCGACCTAAGAGGCTGCGGCATCTAATTTGCGTCAGTACGTACGTTACGCGAGACTGGAGCTCCCCCCGATCTCGAGCACTTCAGAAGATCTCCGAATGTCGCGCATCGAGTGACTGTTGACTCGGGAACACGATTGCTCGCTTACGCCAATTGCCTCGCCGGAAGTCGGGATGTTGGGGCGGTTGGCGCAGACCCAAGGTATTTAAACCCTTGTCCCACCGCTGGAAAAAATCATCCGTCTTTTCTCTTCCTTCCTCCCTCTTTGTCGACACCTCCTGAGGGGGTGAAGTAATGGGTAAGTCTGATGTAGTGCGCCTCATACGCCGTTACTAACACGTACCCACAGGTGACTACTAATCTGTAGCCTGTGCATACGACTCTATACTACAGTAATCAAGCCGCATTTGTCGCCTTGCTATGGCGGTGTTATCGCAGACCGTGTCTTAGCACGCGCGCGCGACAGACGCCAGCGGGGCATTCTGGTTGCTACGGTAGGTCTCATTATCACAGGTGGCATACTATCCCCTCTAATCGTTCTGTTTGACGAACAGGTAGCTGCAAGCCGCATAGGCCTTTCAAGGTACATGCACCCTGACTAAGCCTTTCATATGTCGCATGTATTACAGCCTGCTTTCCCTGAACTGCCATCTACAGTCCCATTGTCGGACTACTAATCAGTAGTTTACCTGGAGTAATCAGTATAGCAGATACTCAGGAGCGCAGTAGTCACATTTGACAATCTTATTACAGCCTACGGGTATGTGAGCTTCAAGATTGAGGTCTGAAATCCCCTCCAATAATGACATGCTATGCAGTCAAACCGGCTATGACTCGGACTCTTTCGAGGTAGGCCTTTACAAGAAGTGCTAACCTGTATTTGAATAGCAGCCTGTTTTTGCTCCATTGCCGTCCACGATCCCGTCATGAGGGCACTATTCGTGAATGAAGTATTCACCGCAGCATCCCTCTTGCTGCCAGAACACTACGGACTGGTAGTGGTGAATAACCTGTGAGGGGTATATCCGCTGTAGCCTGTAGAGCCGTTCTAACTTTGTCAATGAAGCTACACAGTTGTGTTAGCATATTGACCTACATGCTACCACCGCAACTATTGTCACTGTCAAGGGTAATGCTGTTACTCAAAGCCTGGCCGGTAACGAACTGGATTCGATGTACATGCAGTATTTTGTGCTTGACAATACTATACTCGGGTTCCCAGCAGCTGTACTGTGGCAGCATTGCTCTTAAACGGCGATTGTGTGCAGATACCGACGTCGCCGTTCATTTGACCGTATAGATTACTTACAAGTTTGGTGCCGCCCTAGGGTAAAGGTGAGATGTACACTTGAAATATATAGTAGAGTAGATAATACCTGCACTGCTCCACGAGCAGTCCGAGCCCGCATCATTTGCCCGCATGCTCTTTGCATCCGGGGCATAGACGACGCCCGGGTACACGTCCACGCCGAGGTCCTCCGCGATAACCGCCGAGCCTCGCGGTGGAATGCGAGAGCGAGAGGATGCAGCTGCGCTGGTTGGACATGTGCGGGGGCGCAGGGGAGCGCGGGCTGTAAGTGATGGCGGTGCGCAAACGCTAGTTCGCCGACGAAAGCGATGTTGCCGAAACAGACACAACAAAGTGCTCGTCGACGAGCTGGACGCGATCCTGAAGGAGAAGCCCGGCGAGCAGCCGCGGGCGAGCGAGGACACGACGATTTGGCGTGTGCAGCGAGGGCGCGAGTCTGACATTGTCCATTCGCAGCAATGCGACTGCCAAATCCGGCCCGCCATCCGCTGCGGACTCTACACTCAACTGCTCGTCTCTGTCGGCCTTCATTACTGTTTCTTGTCGCACCGAGTAATCACAGCTTACACGCGCACGGCCGCTGCGCACAACATACCCCAAGCCAGCCTCGAGACGTCCAGAATACACACCGAACTAATGGCGAATATACGTGATACCCTGGTACGCCCTCCCGCACGCTGTCCACACCGAGCAGGCGCTGACGGGAGAGCTGACAGTGGGACACCGGGCGCGACGAGACCGTCGAGGTGAATCAGCGCGCTCTCATCGACAAAGTCCTCGCGCGATACTCGGGCGAGTTCACCGGTGCGCACTAGAACCTATTCGAAAGTCTCGTTAATATATACTGATGTCCGCGTCTGCCTGGTGTTGTTGGCAGTCTTCCGCGAGCTTCTGCAGAACTCCGACGACGCGGGCTCGTCCGCCGTGGAGATCCACTTCGAGACGAGGGCGTACGCGGAGAAGACCAAGGCGGCCGCGTCCTCGTCGTCTTCCCCAGCGGACGCGGAGCCTTCGGAGGGCGACGAGTCTACTCGGACGGACAAAGCAAGGGAGGACCTGCCGGATTTGAAGACAGTCCAGGTATGTCCATGGAGTTTGGGGCAGAGGTGGTTGGTTGGCGGGGTCATGGGAAGCTGACGAGGGCGGTGTGGTAGGTCCACCAGTGGGTGTTCAAGAACAACGGGCAGGTGTTCAGGGAGGAAGACTGGAGTCGGCTGAAGAAGATAGGTGAGCAGTGCGCCACAGCCTTGTATTTTATGTCCGTCTGGACGTAGCATGCTGAATATGCGGTACATAGCGGAGGGAAACCCCGACGAGGAGAAGATCGGCGCATTCGGAGTCGGTAAGTGGCGTGACACCGTAGACCGCGGCCGAGCGTTGATTAGGTGAACCTTTGCAGGATTCTACAGCTTATTCTCGGTAACGGAGGACCCGTTCGTCACATCCGGAGGTATGTACGCCTTCATTTCTCATTACCCTACTCTACCCTAACACTATCCTCGCAGACCAATGGA